TTACCGTGCTTCACTGCTACTCTTAACCGAAAAAGGGGTCGCAAGCTGTCGAGCTGTGTGTAATAGGTTCTCATAGTTTTCCAGTTTGGTCATGCCGGCGGCATGATTTACGACTACGCTGCGCTATACGGTGTATGCGCTGCATCGCTGCAGTTCGCCTTGGCCCACCTAACAACTGATTGTATTACCGCTAGGTGTAGACCTTTTTAGTAATAGAGTAGACCGGGGTGTCCAACTAGTTCAGAGGCCAGGTCATAGTTGGTTTGCACAAAAGCCTAACCCTGACCTCTCACCTTTGTCGTTGTAGTACTCTCCGCAAGAGAAATTTTTATTGACTCCAGCCTTTACGACCGTTCATACGGTTCCGTAAAACGCAGATAGTGACAGCCAATTAATTTAATTAAGGCATTTTATGATTTTTTAAAACTACTTCAGAAGTAATAGATTTACGCATCGAATGAATGCAACGATGCTGTTGATTTCATTTTTCACGACTGCAGAATTATTTACAAGATTGAATCTGTGGTGCACACCCATCTAACCGTTACAGTCCCGCACGGTTTTATATCAGGAAGGCAGATTCCTCTCAAAGTTACGTGTAAGCTACATCACCAGTTCGAGGATGAAACATTGTTATCAAATGATAAAATACAATCACGCTTTCCTCAATAAGTATGTCAAGATCTTCGTCCATGGCTTGCAGGTTCTACTTATTATTAAGTGATATCGCTACATATTTCTCTAATAAGGAGGGACTTTTACGCTTGATTCAACCTCCCACGATTTTACGGTGTAATGTCATCTGTTTTTTCCTTCTAAATACCTAGGCGGCCATTTGAACTTGTCACGATTCAGTTGTATTTGTGAACCTTTGGCATGTCGATTTATTTCCTATCATGGTTTTACTTTCCATGAATACTTTTATTTGGCATCACGGATATTCCAGGAATCAATCCCTAGTCGACGTAGCTCAATCAGTAGTTCGTTGGTTTCGCAGTCGAAAATATGTGAGTTCGTTTTATTTTGGAGCAGATGAATAAGTAGTGCTGTGTAGAAAGGAATTGCAAGAAACGGCATGCCATAGTGATCA